TAGAATTCACGTATATCGTAGGAAATTGGTCTTGGCTTTTAAAAAAAAATCATGACCTTGACTTGAAGTTTAAATTATTTGATTTTCACTGATTTTTGTTATAATTGACTGTAACATTGTAATTTATAAATTAATTATCGACATACTTGGACAAAACAACTTTTTGGACAAGACATTCTAAATGGATGAACAGACGTACCTTGATCTTGAGCTTTAAATGACCTTGACCGTCACAGTCAAATTATTGATTTTTGGTTCAATTTTCATAATTTTGTAATTTATGTACACTTTTGATTTATATTTAATTATTTTTAAACACAAAACAAGACTTGCTACCAAACAAAATTATTTAATAATTTAGATGTGACCTTGAATTTTTTATTCACATTGACCATCAAAGACAAATTACTGAAATGCATGTGTTATTTTCTGTAACTGGCTATAACTTTGTCATTTATATATTGATTAAATTCATATTTATACACAACATCAAGATCTCCAATATCAAACTCAAATTGACATTGACTCATGTATAACCCTGACTTTCAATTTCAAATTATATAGCATATTCACTGATTATTCCTAAATTGGCTGTAACTTGGTTAATAATCAATGGATTATCCTCATACTTGAACAAATACCAACCTGTTGGACAAGACCTTTCAAAATTTGATCTGACCTTGACCTTCAAATGATCTTGATTGTCATGTCAAATTATTAAATTTTGATTTCATCATCATAAGTTTGTTATTTATATACATACATATCTATTTAATTTTTACTTGAACAAAACAGGACTTGCTCCCAAACAAGTATATTGAAAAATATAGAATTAAACGACCTTGATCTTCAACAAGCTGGATGGTCAAAGTCAGATGATTGAATTTTGCTTCTATTTTCTTACTTTTGTCATTTATTGATAGAGATGATTCATACCTGGAATAATTTTGTGATACATATCTATAAAAATAATAATTAAACAATTCTTTAATTTTCTTTTTAAAGATTTGTTTAAACAATTTATTTGTTTGCTCTTAGAAAACGTAAAAAGAAGTTAGAGGTTGCCTTGTCAAGCGGTGACTCTGGTTTCGGTTCAATGTTGCATGAACACAGTATAGGTCATATAGCGACTTTCAAGCTAAACTGGTGGAGGAAGACCTCAGGCAACCCTCTGTACATTATTTCAGGCACAAAACGGCTCCAGAGTAGAACCACCTATGTTTCGTAAGCTAGATGGATAGCTTTCTCAACATGAAAAATTGACAAAGAAATCTATGGCGTGACTCAAACCTACAGTGGTAAGATGCATTATGCAAATTTGACCTATATTTTCACCCTATGACTTATTTGTTGTATCGAGAGCTAGAGCATTAAAAATTGAACTACTGCCACAAGTTCAGGTGCAGATTTGAACTTAACTTTGATATCAGTTGACATAGAATTTGACCCAGAATCTTACTTTTTGTAGTTACAGCTTCATGAATGAAATATCTACATGTACTGTTCCAGATGCAGATTGGAACTTTGACATCAATTCAAACTAGATTTCAACATACACTGTCTGTCTTTCATCCTTTGTTATCAATATACAAGTATCAGTCATCTGGTATTTTGAGCCTTTATATTCAGGTGAACAATATAGGGCAATCTTGGCACTCTTGTATGTTATCTTTCTAGAAGTTGACAGAATACAAGCAGATGGGTTGTTGGTAGGTGGATGGGTAGGTTGGGATATGTGTTGTTGGTGTATGGAAAAAATGTCGGTACATTAGGAATAAGGTACGTTGGGCTGGATTTGGTAGGGTTAGGGTTAGTTGGGCGCTGGGCATAGCTTGTCTTGGTGAGTTTGGTTGGGTTAGGTTACGTTAGACTGGGTTGTGGTATTTTAGATTTAGCTGGGTTATGTTATGTGTGGTTAGGTTTAGGCAGTCTAGGTAGGGTAGGTAGGTTGGTTTAGGTACAGCTAGAATAGGTTAGGTTAGGTTAGGTTAGGTTGGGATAGCGTGTATTAGATTGTGTTACAAGGATAGGGTGGTGTACGGAAGAAAGTAGGATAGATCAAGATCACTGTTAAATAGATTATACATTTTCATTCTATATGTCGATATTTATCTGAAGCATATGCCTTTAATCATCATTAATATTTACGATTTTCCATGTAAAGGTTGTATATAATTGCATTACAGATAACTATTAAACATATGTTTAGTATTTTGTTCCTGGAGCTATTCATGCAAATTATCTAATGCATGAACAGTAAACTCATCATAACTATAATGTTTATCGTATTCCTTTTAAATTGAATAAATGATTGCAATTTCGTTAGTTATACATCCTCATTTTGCCTTTAACAGTACAAAACGTTTAATTACTTGCTTCATTTTAGTGTTTAATCAATATTTGATTGTAAGCCTTTTGCAATATTCTATGAAATAAAAAAAATAATATAAATTCAGAAAATCTAAAATATATTTATCTGAATATTAAACTTATATGAGACATTTTATTAGCTTTACTTAAAAAATGATATCATTGTTGTAAGATAAATTTTTGTACATATTAATTCAATATTTGGTGTCCTTTCAGAAAGCGAGTAATAAACTTTGTTTATACCATAAAGTTTACCATTTATTTAAGATAATATTCCCCATTATAGATATGTATCACAAAATTTCATTCGCATCACAACTTTTCATTTGCATTACGTAGGTCAAAACTTATAAATCTTCTTGTGTGAAACTACAATGCCAAGGACATTACCTACTGTGAAAGCTATACTATAAATCATGCCTCTTAGGCCATAATTCTTCCCATTCTTGGGGTCACTTACATGTAAGTTATAGAGTCTTTAAAATAGGAAATAAGGTCTACAAACCTGTGTGAAATAACAATTTAGTTCAACTAACCTGCCTTATCGATGTGGCACATCAACTTAACCCCTGCAGCAATTCCTTGTTTAATAATTATTCCATCTTCAGATAAAAACTTTTATAGTAAAATATTTATTTTCTTCAACATTGACATAATGCGCATTTAAAAGATATATTAATGGATCTTAATGATCGCGATACTACATACAATAACCTTTTGTAACACTAAAACATTTAAGCGGTTGTGTTTGTATTAAAGTCATACAGATCATTTTAAAGCATATATTCATTGATTATATCTCAATTTAATTTATAATAAAACAAAAGAAAAATAACAAAGAAAAAAAACTTTAATGTTAAAATAGGTTATAAAACCCATATTGAATACAATAGAGACACTTTGCTATTATTTGTTTTTCTAAATAAACTTTGAACTATTCAAAACATTGTACACGTTAGACTTTGTGCAATTTCTCTTACATTAAATACGTGTACTTGATGCTATTTTCATAACTATAAATAAAGACAATAGTAATACAATTAGTTGAGATATCCCTTAATTAGTTATAGCACAGAGCTATATTTGATGTATAAGTCTCTGACGACACTTCGGCCAAAGACCTGTACTCGGCGTATGCTGACCTTGATAAAAGCTACTATAAACATGCATTTCTATGTTTTTCTTTTGTTATTGTATAATCAGGTAAAGTAATGAATGGTTTTATTTAGCGTGGTAAGGGTAATTCTCTCACAATATTACATTTAACAAATATTTTTCCAAAAAAAAACAAAAAAAAACATTTTTAACTAGCTATTAAAAGTGAAATGAAAAAGAAAAATGTGCTGTAAATAAACCCTTATCCTAGATAAAGTAGAATATGAAATTTATTCTTGAAAAAGTAATGTTTTATATTCATAATTTTAATTGAATCACAACTATTACCAAATTCAATAATAAACATATTGTTTGTTAAATTGTTTAAACTTAAGAATATCCGAGAACCCGCCCCCACCAAAAAAGAAAAACAAAAAACTGTAGGGATCTTTAGGGATTCTGTATTTATCTATTTTATGATCACATCCGTGTTATTTGTGCCGTGTGGCGGCTGTAAAAAGTCTCCCCGTACATTTAATCAATGATGTTATATTTTCGATCCTTGAAGATCGTTCAGCACGACATTATTGTTGTGCTTGTGGTATTTTTAGTTTCAACTTTTCGGCATTTTTCTAGTTGGGTGGTTCCAATATTCCTACTTGAATAATGTTGAATCACCCTTAGGATATGTTGCCTGCTTTTTAAATTTGTCTTTTGACGTCTTATCTGTGATACGCAGGCTTCATAACCTCTGATCCCCTTTCAAAATTCCATTTTATTTAGTTCCGCCCATTGTTTTCTCGTTTAGGGCACACGCTTTTTATTACTTGGGGACCATACGCCGCTTTTCATGGAATGGCACGGAAGTGTCTCATTGAAGGTTCCATGATAACCGCCGTATGAACACATCTGCGGATGTTTCTAAATTCAAAATTTTACTATTTCACGTTTAAATGTTGAATTCTGCTTAAGCCGGTGCTAGGGGGCGTGGACGGAAAATTCCCTTTTCCCAAAGTACCGGCCCAGCAGGCTAAACCCAAACGGAGTGCAACTTTTTCAATTTTCCCGTTTTGGGTTTTTTTTGGGGTTTCTGTTTTTTCCCTTTTTGGGCTTTTCATATAATGGGATGGGCTTAAAAGGGTTTGGGGAATTTTGGGACTCGTAAGGTCCCAAAATTTACTAAAAAAAATGCTGTAAAATATTGAGAAATTCACATTTTTTGAGAAATAAGCTGTAGGGAAAGGGGAAAAACGTGCTTTTAAAGGGGTCTGGGGCTCTTTTGAGGGAAAATTACTGTTGGAAAATTCATATTTGAAAAAAGTTTGGGAAAAAACAAGAAGGGGATTGTTTAATTTAAATCAGATGTTTAAAATTTTAAACTCCAGCGTAAACAGATTTTAAAAAATTTGGGGGGTTTTTTGGGACAATTGAAAAATTCTTAAAAGTTAAAAGTCCTGAATCAAAACATAAATCAGGATGTATTTGTTTCTATGATACGTTCGAAACTACCTCAAGAAGTTTTGCTTCAACTTGAAATGCATAAAGGAACAGAGGATAAATGGACAGTGACAAATCTTCGCGATAAGTTCAAAGCTTATGTGAATGCTCGTGAGAAAGCGGAGCAAAAGCTACCATTCTCAGAATCACGGAGATATAAACAAATGAATTCTCCTAACCAGCAGAAGCAAAGACGTAAAGTTTTCTACGAAAACCAGAGTACACAGGACCATTCAGGTAAATCTTTAAGTTCAGCTGAAGCTCTGGTTACAAGTGAAGTAAGAAATGTTGCTGACAAGAAGTTTAAGAAATGCCGGTATTGTGATAAGAAACATTGGAGTGATGAGTGTCCTATTTTTCGCACGATTGCAGAACGAAAAGGAAAACTTATAGGAAGCTGTTTAAAGTGTCTTAAATTAGGTCACAATTCCGCTGAATGTAAAGGAAAAAAGAATTGTGTATACTGTGGTGGATTTAATGTGCACCATCGTAGTTTATGTCCTAAAAAGTTTAGATTAGGTGAATTTTGTGTTGTTAATCCTGAAATAACAGACTCATTGAACAACAATGAACTCAATGAAGAAAGTGCTCTTGTGTCCTGTGATGAAAGTGTTTTAATGCAAACAGCAAGAACGGAAGTAAAAAGTCCATTTGGGACTACGAGTGAAAATGCACGTATTCTGCTTGATTCGCGGATCGCAAAGGACATATATTACAGAGTCTCTAGCGAGCAAACTTGGAGTAAAGAAATTAAAGAAGAAGAAATAAAGTTAGTTACCTTTGGATCGGACAAACCTAAGGTAATTAAAACATATTCTACAAAAGTGTGCTTGAAACTTAGTACTGGCAAATACATTGAAATAAATGCCAATATTGTACCCGGTAATTAGTGGAAACGTACAGAAAAAGTCAGCTAAATTATTTTTGACGAACATATGAAACATTTGTTCACAAATTTGAACATGGCTGAAGATCTTTCATCAAATAAAGAGTCATCAAAAGTGGACTTATTACTAGGAAATGATTATTACCTAGATATTGTAATGTGTCAAAGAATGGAAGTAAAACCAGGACTTTATCTTCTGGCTTCAAAGCTTGGTTGGATACTTACAGGCCGAATACAGGAAACAAGTGTATATGAAAATGAAACAAATATGCTTATTCTTACGCATGGATCAAATGTATGTGTAAGCACAACAAATGTGTTTGCTAGTGTTGATTCAGTTGTTCAAACCAAACCAGAGTTGGAAGACTTTTGGAAGATCGAATCGTTAGGAATAACAGACAGTCAAGATAATACAAATGATGAAATTGCTTTAATGAAATTTAAAGATACATTAATATATGACAACGGAATGTATCAAGTAACATGGCCGTGGAAAGAAGAAACTCCAGAATTGCCAGAAAACAGAGAGCTAGCATTAGCTCGATTGAAATCAAATATAGCAAGAATGAAAAACAAGCCAGAAGTGTTGAAAAATATAATGAAGTGATACAAGACCAACTTAGTAAAGGTGTAATCGAGAAAATAGATAGAAGTTCGATGAGTGATTTAGTGCATTATATTCCACACCATGCAGTAATTACCCCCACACAAATCAACTACCAAATTACGTGTTGTTTATGACGCATCTGCAAAATCAGATAGAAACAATAAAAGTTTGAACGAGTGTTTATATCGAGGTCCAGTTATGATTCGTGATCTTTGTGGATTATATTGATGCGGTTTAGACATCATCAAGTGGCATTGGTTTCGGATATTGAAAAGGCTTTTTTACAAATTGGCCTACAGCAGGATCAGCGGGAATGTCACACGATTTCTGTGGATAAAAGATATAGAAAGACCAATTGTCAGTAGTGATAATGTTCAAGAATTCAGATTCTGTCGTGTTCCATTTGGTATAATATCAAGCCCCTTTTTGTTAGGTGCCACTCTTGAGAGCCATCTAGAAACATACAACAACAACATTGCTGACAAAATTAAAGGTGATATCTACGTTGATAACGTAATTACAGGTACAAATACATGGGAAGAAGCATATGATTTGTACAAGACTTGTAAACGAAGTTTTGCTAATGCCTCTAAGAATCTTAGAGAATGGGCATCAAATAGTTCTCAGTAAGCCAAAAATGATTCCGACAACAGACCAAACAAAAAGTATCTCTATCAAAGTACTCGGACATACATGGGATACAAAAAACGACACACTTACTCTAAATGAATCATCTGTGTCGAGTGATGAAAACATTTTGACAAAACGTATGATTTTAAAGCAGATTGCATCTGTTTTCGATCCTCTAGGATTGTTGTGTCCAGTGGTGCTGGAAGGAAAGATCCTTCTGCAATCAATATGGAAGAAAAAAATATGATTGGGATTATTTAATAGAGGATGATGACATTTGTGAAATTTGGTCAACTGTGAAAAGTGATATAAAATCGATTTCTGATTTTAAAATACCTCGATCTGTTTCACTGCAGAAATACGACGAAGATACAGAATACAGATTGTTGTGTTTTTGTGATGCTTCGACAAAAGCATATGCTACGGCAATATATTAACATCAGAAAAGCAAATTAGAAACAAAAGTTGATTTAGTGTTTGCTAAAAGTAGGATTGCGCCTTTGAAAGAAATAACTATCCCAAGATTAGAATTAATGGCAGTTTTGATAGGAGTACCCTGTTTGAAATCGTGAGTAATCAACTACAGTTAAACATGAAACAAATATACTTATGGGCAGATTCTAAGTGTGTTCCTTACTGGATCCAAAGCAAGAAAAAATTACCAGTGTTTGTGAAAAACAGAATTAGTGAGATAAAATCAGACGAAGGTATAAAATTTGAACATGTGTTAGGCAACCAGAACCAGCGGATATAGCATCAAGAGGCTGTTCGGTAAAAAACAATTAGCGATTGCAAACTGTGGTGGCATGGTCCATTATGGTTACAAGAGCCAGAAGACATGTGGATAAGTGTCAAAAGTGATAGTGATATTTGTGATAAATATGAAAACGACAATTCAGAAAAAGTTATGACTGTTTCTTGAAAAAGAAAATAATGACTTAAGTGTTCTTTCGTCACCTTTTGAAATTGACATTGCAAAGTTTTCTTCACTTACAAAACTGTTAAGAGTGACAGCATTAGCTGTAAGATTTATACGAAAACTACGCAAATTGCCTTGTGAAAGTAAAAGCTTAAAATACGTTGAGCTTAAAGAGGCAGAAGAAATTTGGTTAAAACATGTTCAAAGAAAACATTTTGCGTGTGTATATGATGCCATTAAAAATGAAAAGAAAAACAATTTGCAGATTCAGTTAGGTCTCTTTATTGATGAAAAAGGTTTATTGCGATGTAAAGGTAGATTAGAAAACGCTGATCTGACTGAAAGTGCAAAACATCCAGTGCTTTTACCGAAAAAAGACCGTCTGACCTATCTCCTGATTGACAAAATGCATAAAGATCTATTACACAGTGGTGTTTCTCAAACATTAGCATATACAAGACAAAGATTTTGGATTCCACATGGTCGAGCAGTGGTAAAGTCAGTGTTACACGTGTGTTCAACATGTCGTCGCTTTGATAGTGGCCCATTTAAGATTCCACAAATGCCACCACTACCTACATCGAGAGTCACGGAATGTAAACCCTTTTCACGTGTAGGACTTGATTATTTAGGACCACTTTATATCAAATCTGATAAGGGACAATCAAAAGTGTGGATATGTTTTATTCACCTGTTTTGTAACACGAGCTATTCATCTTGAAATAGTTGATGGATATGTCTACAGAAGAATTTCTACTATGTCTTCGAAGATTTATTTCTCAAAGAGGCACCCCTGTTCAAATATTGAGTGACAATGCGTCACAATTTAAAGCTGCATGCTCCGTTATTGAAAAAATCTGGTACAAAATGCTTCAAAGTGAAGAAGTGCAAACATATGTGTCAAATTCCAGTATCAAATGGAATTTTTATTACCGAACTTGCTCCATGGATGGGAGGTTTCTATGAAAGACTTGTAGGTTTAGTAAAAAGGGTGTTTCGGAAAACATTAGGCAGACGGCTTCTAACATTAATTCAATTACAAACATTTGTTAAAGAGGCCGAAGCGGTTGTGAACTCAAGACCCCTAGTTTACGTCGGCGATGACGTCAATTCAAATATTGCATTAACTCCAAGTCATTTCTTAACATTAAACCCCAGTATCGGTATTCCAGAGTCTCATATAGACGAGAAAGATACAGATTTTATAGCGCATTACAATTCAAGTGATCGCCTAATGAATATATGGAAAAAGGTCAGAAATTACTCAACATGTTTTGGGTTATATGGCGCAATGTCTATTTTGTTAAATCTTCGAGAAAGAACTCAATCAAAAATTAAAACGGGTCGAGTTCAATCACATATTGAGCCATGTGTTGGAAATATAGTATTATTAAAAGAGGATTTACCTCGCGGAAACTGGAAACTTTGGGAGAATAGTGGATTTAATCCCAAGTCAGGACGGAAATGTACGCTCAGCAATGGTTAAAAATACCATCGGGAAAAAGTGCTGAAACGTCCACTCAAACTATTATTTCCTATTGAGATGTCCTCAGCTATCAATCATAAATTAACTCAAAGTACTGAAAATGATAAAATAGATGAATACGAGCAAATATCGCGCCCGCCCCGCAAAGCAGCAGAAAGTGCTAAAATCTTGATCAAAAAGCAATTAAATTGCTAACGAATAAAAGTCGTTTTTTATAAAAAAAAAATGTCGCTTTACAACAAGTGAAAATTAAAAAAAAAATGTATACATCGGCGGAGCATACTTGGCGATAAAACATTAGCCATGAAATTCACGCGCAAAGTTTTGGACGGCGGAGCATAGTATTAGAGTGAAAACTACAACATGAAATTCACGTGAAAATCGTGCGGCGGAGTAAAAAATTTGAAAGATTTGCACGAAATTTTTATAAGTATAATACAATAAGAATTGAATCATTATGCTTGTGTCAATTGACCAGAAAGGACATAAAAAAAGAAAAAAATGCCTTTGTGCTATTGCGATACCTGCAATAAAAGTTATAAAAATATAAGAAATTTGAAAAAGGCATATCAAAGAAAAGCATACAATCTTAGAATATTGGAACTGTGTGGAAAAAGATTGTTTCGTCAAGATTCATAAGAAGAAGTTACCTCAGCAAACATTTGATTTTAAAAACACAGATATGGAGCAGACTTGGCAAGCGATGCAGCGTTACGTGCAAAAAGAGGAGATTTAAAAAGAGAGTGAATATTATGAAGACGTGAGCGAAGATGAAAGTATTTTTAGTTTTTGTTAGCAGAAAGAGATGGAAATCACGACGAAAAACAGTTTGCTAACACAATCTTGGATTTTGACCTGACTCTTCTGCAAAATGATGAACATTTAACCAATAATTATGCAGATGAAGAAAAACAATATCTACCTAATGAAGAAAATAAATGCAGCAGAAGATAACGATGAGAGAGAATGTGAAATAAACGTAAATGATATGGAAAATTGAGGAACGAGATGAAACAAATGATAATAGCTTGGTAGAAGATGACAACGGCGGCGAACTTGACTATAATGATTTGTGAACAGGAAAGTGGATTACATTAATACGCAGCAAAGAAGTGAAGAAAGTGATCATGATTATATTAGTGATAACGTGAGTGCTAATATGATATAAATAGTGACGTAAGTTCAAAAGATGAAAACAACAACGACTATGAAAGTGATGTTTGTGATAACCAGTATAGTGATATAAGTGTTGAGATGATGAAGTGAGATTTTAAGCAGTGATGGTGAGTCTGCACATGGAAACATTGACAACAAATGCACCGATGTAGTGCCGTCAAAGGCTACAACAAGGACTCAAAACTT